ATATCTGTTTTTTGTTGACATAAATTCCGCTTTATTATACGCCAAGGTTGGAAAAAAATTCTACATTCTAAATTTATGTCGAGATAAATTATCTAAAATCGAATGGTAAATAGAATGTATATAAAAGCATAATTTTTATTGCCCATTTAGTATCGACAGTGCTATATTTTACTTTTTTGCAGAGCTATTAAAAACAATCACCTAATTTTACTCGGTTGTAAATTATTCCAAACAAGGAAGTGCATCTACTGTAAGGTTTTATTTATTCTTGAATCTATCGCTGGAAATAAATTTATTTAATAGTAGGACGGATATGGTGTAAAAAAATTTGAATTGAAATGCAAAACTCGCGTTTTTAATTGAAACAAAACGTTGAAATACTGTCAGCTATTAATTTCCTAAGTAATTTACTACCATATTTTGAAATATTCCATTGTTTTTTAATTTTAATTGATGTTTACATTATTATCTTTCCGTAGCGCCGTGTTACAACTTGCTGAAATTACAACATTCCATACTTAATTACTTGCTAGAACACGAGCACGGATAATCATAGAATTTTTTTCTCGAACCTAATAATTAAGGTTTTCCTGATACAGGTCCATCGACACGTTTTCAAGGATGAGTAACAACATCGCGTGAAGGTCGAAATGTCAAAAACTTTTTCAGAGATGTGGATTTTGAGATAAGTCATGCGATGTTTATTTTTCCCCTTATCTGCCGATTCTAATTGAGCTCCTCTGAAGTAGCGGTTTTTCCAGTTCTCTCAATCAGCATTCACATCTTTGTCTCCATTAAAAAAAAAAACTGTCAGCAGCTTAGACTTTCCGTATTTATCAATCAGCCTTAGGTCACACGCTTCAAGTAATTTTCATTATTAAGTTTTTTGATTTATCGAAGTCCGAAAAATATCACTGAGTAAATTGGGTGTAATTATTTGTTTATGATTTATGATTTCGTAGATATAGATAGGCATTAGAGTGGCCCGTAAGTGTTTTGAGTCTTCTTTTTTAATTAACAAAGAGGTGTAAGTTTTATTTTAGACCTGTTCTGGAAATACAAAAAGAGTTGACATTTTCACTAAAAGAATTGCCGTATATCATTTCGAGTAGGTAAATACCTGCAGGTATCTTGCTGGGATCATTATAAAATATGCAAATTATGTTCCCTTTCGTTTTGTGGCCTCATAAATTATATTCATTTTGTTAAAAATGAAGAATATTGTGGTTTTGATATTTTTCAAGTCAGGTAATGGCAACAAAAAGCGCCATTTTCTGAATAACAACACATGGCATGTGATCTGATATGAAATTTTAAAATATTGTGCTTGGGGAGTGCATCAGATTTACCATCAAATTAATTAATAAGTGCTGCACACCACAGGCGTTAAATTATAAATACTTTGCTCAGATTTATGTATACTACACTATTTCAAAAAGTCACACCACATGTAGCTTTAACACGATGATGTACAGCTGCTTTAGACCAAGTATTTTCTTATATTGTGGTTGAAAAATTTGATATTACTTTATTGTGTGAAAAAAACATGTTTTTTCACAATGGGTACCTACTTTACAAATATGGAAGTTATGCTGCATAAAAACTACTATCAGTAGAAAAAACTAAAAGTTATCATGAAAAATTTTTAAGGGTTATACTTTCGAAACAAGTTTTCTTAGCTGTCCCGACATTAGTTTTTGAATTTTTTCAATAGCATCTGTGTTATATAAATATATTATGTGAAATGAAATAGTGAATGAAAAAGAAATCTAGAATGTTTTAACTTTGACTCTACAAACTCTTCCAAATTTTATTTATTTCCTCATATATTTTTTAAATATTGTTTCGTAACTTCCCAACGGTCGCAGTGTGGTGATAACCTAAACGTTAAATGCAAATAAGTATACGGTAATTTAGGCAATAAAATTTTGAAAAATACTGTCTCCGCAGTGAATTAATTTATAGAACTAAATTTACATCTAAATTTAGGTTTAAATGTAACGTCATGTTAAACGGGCTATAACAAAAATAAAAAAAAAAGCAGTTACAATGATTAAGTAATTAAATAAACCTCCAACGCATGTTTAACAAACTAATTTATTGTAAACCATGCTTGAATTTACATAAACTTTTGTAAGACAATATTTTAATTTTGACTGGTTTAATGATCATTTTAAGTGCATTTTTTAAAAAGATAACACCGTAAATAGGCATCATTAACACATTATTCTAAAAGAACGCAATTAGCTGAACGATACTGTAGTGTCAATGAAATATTAAAAGAAAAACATCAAAATAGTCAATGGTGCTAATTCAAGACATGTTTCCTTCACTAATTTACTTTTTTATCGCACAATATTTCACTGGCGCAGCTTTTTACCGTGACAGCCCCCATTTTACAAAGCGAAAATTCCATTTCATCCAAAAATACCATAAATTTCTCTCTAAATTTTCATTTTTCCAATTCCAGCTTCCCACCATCACGCCAACAAAAAGCTAAAAATCACCTCAAGTGCGTTCCACTCATCTTGCAGTCCACAAAAAGCCCACAGTCACTCGAGTACGACCACTCAACTCCTTGATTAAATAAAATCAGTCCAAAGTGTTTTTACGCGCGCAAATAGCGTATAAAAGGCATATAAAAATCCAATGAAATGAAGTGTAAATGGTGTCGTATCATAAAGGTGAAATGGCCGTCGCTGAGCGCGCAAATACCGGGTTGGGACCGGTTACGATCCCGCCGGTGAGTTTAGGCCTCACATCTAGTGAGCGCATGCCGAACAAGCGCCTGCTCGTAGCATGGCTGACTGCGATTGCCTTATTCACGCATTTGTTTTGAAGTTTTATGGGCGATAACGCAATCAAAATACACCGAAAAAGCGAAATTTGGAAAAAATGGAGTATGCTGAATTTTTTTTCGATAATAACGCGTTATTTACCTTTTTTGGTTGAAAGTTTTGTGGACTTTATTGTTCGGACTATATCTACACGAAAAACAAAATGTGTGTTCCGTATTATAACCTAACTTTCTGTTGACAGGTGTCCTTCGAAAATTATAATTGTAAAACGACATCTTTTATTCAAATTTGATGCTTTTTGTATTTATGGAAAATTAAACTTCTGTCTATATTAACATGAAATTAAATACTCGCACATTATTGTTGCCAATATCTCACTGTATATTATAAAATCGCTGTAGGTACATATATGGTAACGAAAACAAAAATGTCACAAACCTAAACCGCACTTTGATATGATAAATTAGTGTAATAAGTTGCACCATTTTAATTTTTCATAAATATATTTCTTCAATAATCAATGCAATTATTTTATCGCCCAATAGTGTATATTTGTTCCGAAGTTGTAGAGTTAAAAACTTTTTTTTGTATCATTCTAATTTTATATAGGTACCTAGTTACTATTCTTATGTTAGTTAGAAATTAACTTGTCTGCAAAAGTTATTTGCTCTTATCGTTTTACAATTTGTTTTTTTAAGTCTCGAAATGACTGTGAATGTTATTACAACTTCCTATATTTCATTGATTAAAAGGAATGAAAGTTTGCCAAAAAAATCACTTTCAAAATGATAGGTATAAAAGAGATGCACTGTTTTTTATTTATATAAAAAAAGCCGCATTTTTTTATAGATAATATTTGTACCATTTAACTGAATTTATATTGTTTGTTTTATTTTTCCAACAATTGTAAATCATTGACAAAACTAGAAAAAAGAACGTAGTTGTAGATAAAAAAATCGTGATCTGATGTAAAATGTAGGTATAACAAAACAATATTGTTATAATCAACTAAACTAGGAGAAAATGGACAGCCAAAGAAATAAACATGTTTAGAGATATAAAATTTTCAAAAATGTTTATAGGTATCTAATTAGATTTAAGCACAAAATCTTAGGGCTTTGTAATTAAATATAAAATCACGGTAAATTATCTAAAAAAAAACCAATGTTTAAAATACATTCCTGATTTTGAAATGAATAAGAATTGAATGATTTGTAAGCCAAACGTTTTGAAATAAAAAAAATATATATATAAATTTGATTATTATTATTATTATTAATGTATATTTTTCTAATAAATGATAATTTATTCGGTACATATGTGCACATTTTAACGGAACTCGATATTAACACCTTTAGCAGACAATAATGCGATCATTTACTAGTCAGTACACTTGAAATCATGTTGTTTTCGGTAAATTAAACATGGTTTTTGTTAACTATGCGGCATAGCTCAATAAAACGAATATTTTCCGCTTAATAAAGCAATGCACTGACATTTCGTTGTGTAATCAGAAACCATAAAACCGGTGAATTGTAGAAGAAGTGCACCAAGATAAATAAAATTTGTTGGTTGTGGAAGTACCGGTCATGGATGCTCCTGACGTCACACATACCTCATTTTGGAAAACCGAAGCGTTATCAATTCTTTCTTTGATAATAAAGCGCTACGCGCAATTTATTTCCATGGACTGGAATTATAATATAAATATGGTCATAATTCTTTTAATTAATTAATCATTTAAATTAGATTTATATTTTATGAGCGAGATAACAGTCGGTCCGGGCATAAATCAAATGTTTGTTCAGCATGCCGATCTTAAATTTAATTTCGCTAATGTTTAAGAACGGTTCATGAACTTTAACATTGTCGTTTAATGTTGTCCGTCTAACCGTAATTGAAAGCGGTATCTATAATTTGATCTTAATGTGCGTTATGCATACGCGACCGGAAAAATTATGACTAACCTGATCATTTTCACCTTACGATCACAACACACCACCACGACAAAGATCACAACAACAAACTGAGTACCTGCGTAAAAAAGCGACTGCCTAGACTACCCAAAACTTTCTACTAAAAAACATCAAAGGGACAACTTTCTATTTTACAACCTACTTGGCCAATGATTTTTTATTTGCTTATCTTCACGTACACGAGGTGAAACAAAGACAAAGTAAGTACCGCAAGATTGCATCTAACCTGTGAACTTTCCACATGCAAATATCCCACTTGCAACTTTGTAAGATAACCTGTAATGTATACTCCAGCTGGCACATAATCTATTATGACAACTTTATTCGATTCGCTTCTATTTAGAACACCACAAACCTAAAAACCAACAGAATTAGCAACCACCCGGAAAAAAGCATGCAGAAATCGTTTTAATTAGAACCGCGCGTAAACCCGTCAGCGGATGCACTCAACATCTTTTAAATAAACAAGCTTATTTTAGAAAAACATCGACTTTTTAATTTGCAAAGTCGCATTTACCTAAAAAATAAAACGCGTTTCATGCGCATCCTGTGAAAGACGCTCTGCTATCGCAGCAGGCCATGTTTTTGTGTGCCGGCCATTGCGCAAGTTGGTGCTTCGATTGTTTCGCTTAGCCGCCTACTCGATGCGAAGAGAATGCACAAAACCAACACAACATCACTGCAAGACATGGAGGTAATTAGAGAACACTCGATTTTCGAAAAAAATTTTCAAAATTTATTATTTTTGGCGAAAACACTGACAAGAGAGCAGCACTGTCGGGAATTCAACATGGCTGACGTGAGCCGGCGCGATCACATGTGGTAGGGGAGACTCCGGAATGCTGCGCCGCGGTCCGGGCGAATTCAAACTTTGGGTATTTTTCGGGAATTTTTTTTAATTCTTCCTCATTTTTTCGTTTGGTTAGTTTGGTTGCGCAACCTTTGGCGTGCTTTAAAGGACGTCGGCGATTTCCTGGAGAACTCGTGTACGTCATGTACGTGTCATTTTATGAATGAATAATGTTCGCATGCACGGCGATTTTATCTTTCTAGTCTCTGGTGGAGGATAGCGGATAATTTGCATATACATAATAATTCACTTAATCCGCTTTTCGCGCACATTTTCGGAACGGCTAATACACAACTATTTTAAAAAGGTTAAGTGTTGGGTTGAGCGAGGGTCCCATAATAATAAGGACTACCTCTGGCCCATCCGAGGCGGCACCCAGTCATTTCATAAAACGCGTTAAAAACGGACGCTTTCTTTTTTCTCTTGTTGTTCTGCTGTGTTTTCTCTTCTTCCAGGTATGTTTTTTGATTTTTCGTGCGATATCCGGGATGATTGCTTAGTTTTATTTGTGTTAGAGCGCCGGCAAGTATTGATTTAGTTGGGAAAAAATAAGTCCATGCGCCATAAAGCTGTGAATCCGAAGCTGCATAAAACGAGGCTCTTCCGTTGCGTTTGAGCGCGTTAGGAATTATGGAAATTGCATGTTTCGCACTCTGCAAACACTTGTTTTTTTATTAGTTTAATTAGCGGGTAAGCGACGATTCATATCGTCGCGTTGTGGTAATGAGATACGAGGTTTTGCACGTCGATATGTTTTCTTGCCGGTTTTGTTAATTATTCATCTTTGCTGTTGCATACAAAGGGCTCGGGTTTGTTTAAATTACGCCGGCGGTGGTATATTTCAACGAGGTCCTTTGTACACTGTAAACATAAGTTTCAGGATGAGTGCAGATTATTATGGAAATGGCTTAGTGAACTCTCACTAGCGGATATATGTATGCAGGTTTTAGTTTGAAAATAAACGGTTTGAGGTGATTTGGTGCTTGGCTAAATTTAGGAGGGCTGTAAATTTAGAGCGTGTTTTTGCGAAAACCGAACCACTCACAATATATTAAATATTTGTGCTTCATTGTATGCACTTGCAGAAAGGCGAGACGTGTTATTTTATTGCATCGATTTTGTAAATGTGCTCTTGCTTGTTCATTTAGTGCAAGATTGCACTAGTAGTACTCATGGCTACGATCTTCCTGGAATTTATTAACTTGAAACTGACAAACCTATATTAATGTCGAATTTATTAATAATTGCGGGGATGTGATGCATTTTATTTGTTCTCAGGTATCTCTTTGTCTATTTTCTTCTAGCTAAACTTGAAAAACAGACTTTTCTAAAAACTACAAAAACAGTAAAATTTCGGGTTAAGTTATATTTAGATTTTGTGTAGAAGTAAAAAAAAATACAACAGTACTCTCTTACAGATTTTATAGCATAAACGCAGTGGTTATTTCACTTTCGTTGTAACTTTTATTTTTTGAAATTTTCGATATACAATACCGAATTTTCTTGTTGAACAAATTTCATAAATTTGATTTAAATTAATGGAGCCAACCTAAATAAAAAAATAGTTATACATTAACTTGACTTTCGTTGAACTTTTTGTTGCTTAATTTATGCATAATCATTACATTTTTGAAATAAGTTATTTCTGGAAATTCTGCCTGCCAAAATAGAAGTGTAGGTAACTGTCAGGTGAGCGGATTCTTTGTCTTATGTTCTTAGTGGCATTAAACTGTATAGACAGCACCATTCCCATTGTTAATAGTTATTTAAAACAGAATTTAGATATTTTGTTTTAGAATATTATTACTCTTTTCTATCTTTCCTAAAAGAGGTCGTAGGGATTCCCATGTTAATTTTTATATTCCATGTTAACTTACGTTTGACTAAAGATTCAGAGTTGAATTTTTTACTGAATGTACTTTGGGTCATCTTTTGTCGATTTTATTAAAAGTTATGCTTTAAATTAATGAATATTTCTTTAAAAAAATTAAATTATTGAATATTTTTGACAACCATGTAAAAACAGACATTTACCTGATGGTACTAAAATTTGATTACTTGTTACATTACTGTTTTTAGTGACCGAAATTCGCCAACATGCCACAATACGCAATTAAAAAATGGAAATATTATCCTCTCATGCCTCATACTCAAAATAATAAGTCAAAATCTATGACATACCAAAATTTTTTAAATCACAAATTAACAATTTACTGGAAAAAGTGGTAGTAGAAATTAAAGTAGAACCCTAAATAAATCATCTCTGGGTTTTCACCCTAACAGAAGCTAACATGGGGTTTAAAATTTAAATTAGGAATTCCTATGGCACTTTTAAAAAAGATGTAGGTATAGTACCTATCCAACATAGGTATAAGATAAGAGTTATTTGAAAATTGTCCATGGTATTAGGTATTTATGTTCATTCGCAGAACGAATTAATCAACATTTAACTTCAGCAATAAATGAGTATTGATAAAAAAAAATACTGTATAGAATAAAGTCTAATAAAAATTGCGTTCATTAGCTATTTAATAACACTTTTTAGTGTTACAGGTCGAGTATGAAACATATAATTTGTTTTTTTTATTGAAATTTTCTTTTTACCAGTTAGTACACGTATTAATTATGAAAATTAACTTTTATGAAGACATTATACATTTGTAAATAATCGCTATAATTTATATGGTAGCATGACGTCGAATATATAAACGGATCAGAAGGAAAATGGTGCCTGCTTTTTTAGAAGCTATGTACCTACCTAATAATGATATCGAAACTTAATAAAAAACTACTAAAGGTAGATACATTTTAAAATGACAAAAAACTATGTTTTGTTCATTATTTTTATTAACAGAAATTCTGTTTTTGTTGTCGCTTGTTTAGTCATTTATTGTTCACACACAGGTTGTATCTTTAAGCGCACATTAATTAATACTAGAGATAAAAAAAAGTTGGACGGTTCTTCCGAGGCAACCGTGCCACGTTATTCCAATTTTCTTGATATTTTTTTGGCAATGGAAGGATTCACAAAAAATCACAATAGGCCTCTTTTTAAAGTTTGCTTTACAATATTTTGTGGAAGGATAAACAAAGATACGCGTTGTGTCGTGGTATCAACTAAAACAAATATTAATGTACAGAGAGTTTATAAAAACTAAAACTTTACAATATTCAAATATCGATATTTCATTTTTTTCAGATAGAATACCTTGTATTTTGTTATTGTTTCGTACTCTGTTTTTAATTTTTTTGTCCTCATTCTTCTAATATGGCGACGTGTCCCTTAAAAAAATAAAAAAATCGCAGGAACTATTAACTTTAAATATAGAAAATACCCAGCAAAAAAAAAAACAAAATAAAATGCAGTTTAATAAAATATAGGGTGTTGTATTTAGAAAAACTGAAATATCGATATTTGAAAATTGTAATAATTAAAACATTTTTTATGAATTTTGTGTATATGAAAATTTAATCTCATTTATATCACAACAGAGCTCGTATCTTTCTTTATGTCTGTACAAAATGATGTAAAACAGATTTTAAAAATAACTCTACTGTGATTTTTTGTTTTTCCAAAAAATTTCAACAACACCGGAATGACGTAGTGACGTCGCATCGTATTTTCAACTGTGGTTGTAAAGCCTAAGCGAAGGTCAATTACAATTTGTAAAGATATATAGGGTGCTTGTTTAAAAAACAACTAAGTTTTGTGTTACGCCTTAAAAACAAAACACTGCGTATTGTTAAAAATAATTTTAGAGTACCTATATTTCTCAAAGAACTGTACAACATTGGTGTTTATTTTTCAATTTCTAATAATTAATGAGGTATCCAGGAACACGGGCTTAGTGACACACCTGTATATTAAATCGATTAATAAATTAGTTATCTAACAGGTGAACAGCCCGAAGTATTAAACTTAATTTTGGTTTTTATACAATTACAATTTAATTACACTTTTAACATCAAACAAATTAATTCGTGGATATTTAAATTGTTATTGCATAATAACAAGAAATAAGTTTACGTATTAAAAAAATATTCGTTTTTAATAAGAGTTTTCTAATGATTATTTTATTTACACTTTGACTGTCGTCTTTAAATCTTGCTAGGTAAATGCTATATAAATTTGATAAAATAAAATGTTTCTAAAATTGCAAAATAATAACCCGACTGTCCTGAAATTTCGAACGTTAAGTTACTATAAATATGATGAAACCCCAGTCAAATTTCCCCTTCAAAAACTCCATGACGTCATATCAAAACGTTGCCAAATAAATCCTATGTAAAATATGCGTCTGCACTTGTCAGTTAACAATGCATCCATACTTGAATTTTAATATCAAGATCATGAAAAAATATAAGTTATATTATGTCTGTTACAGAATAAATTCATTTAAATCAGAATGAGTAATCTTCAAAAACTCTGGACCTTTCAATGCAGATAATGTGAAATAGCAAAAAAAGAACACATACTGGCGTACTTGATTGTTTAAAAAAAAATGGAATGTGACTATTAAAAATCAGTCAAAAAAATTCATTATAGGAA